TAGAAGAGGAGATAAGAGCACTGTGAAGGACATGGCAGGTGACTTGTGACCCTTCCTCTTTGTTGTAATTTTGCTTCTATTATTTGCAAAGCTGATACACTGAGAAATGTTATTTAGTGACAAAAGAGGAAAGCCTATCTCCTATCTACTTAATACAACAACTTGAAATTACATAGTCAGGAGAAGGCAAAAATTAATTTCCCAGTTAAAACTGCAAGGCTTTTTTGAAGGAAAGAAAAAATTTAGACAGAGCAAGCCTGCACGTATTTCACATCAGAAAATTCCTGTTGAAAGTATCACAGGAGAACGAAACAGGTACTGGGGTGAGAGAACACAAAACAGCACTAAACACCATAAATGCTAGGAATTCTTCAAAAGATAAAAAATGAAGGTGGCTTTGAAGAAAGAGTGCTTTCAGAGATGTGTACAGTTCCTAAAGATATTTCAGCATGCAAAATACATTAAAAGTAATCAACATATATGCCATCCACTGCAGTAAGAAACTGGACCCAAGAGAATTGTACATCAGGATAAAGCAGAAGCGAGCACAGAATTAAGAAATAAACCATGAACATGGATGTGAGAAAACCTTTTTATCAGAGGATGATAGAGGAAAAAGGCTGAGCATAGCCAAGGATATTACAGAAAAAGAGCATATGGTGACATTGAGCTATATCAGAGAGCAAATACTGTCTAACTGGGTCTTGGGCAACGCTCCAGGACTGGATAGGAAAGACACTCCTTCTAAGTGTCAGCCTTTAGATAGACAAAACGCATAGTGAGGGTGGATTGGGAAGAAGCTACATGACCTTTGGGTCACTTTTCTCCTGATATCTAAAGCAGTATTTTTCCCACTGGCATGTCTAATATATTCCTTTAGAGCTTTGTATGCATTAAATGTTCCTAAAGAGGCATGACTTCTGGTAGTTATTTGAACACATCTTGAGGCAAGATTTTTTTTTTTTCAGGTTTTCAGCAATGTTAACGGTTGCAAACACATACTTATCTGGCACAGATACCACTGTGTTTCTTCAACTTTTGGCTCGTCTGTCCTTGTGTGACCTACTGAGGACACAAACCTCTGTCTTTTCACCTACTGTGACCTTGTAAAATTCTGACTCCCAGAGAAACCACCACTCATCGTATGAAACACCAGACTGTCTCTGTTACTACTACTACACCTTATGCTACCTCTTGTGCCCTGCTGTGCCTCTAGATCAGCATGAACGCATCCCAACATTCTACCTACCATCTCGCCCTTTCTCTATCCCCTCCAGCCTTTGCCTCTTATGGGGCAAAGTAAGGGTACATTCACTTCAACTTGCAATGCAGCAGGGAGACAGTTGAGCTTGTATCAGCACACTTAGGCTTCCCTTCCCTCCCCTGCTAGGCTGCAGCAATCTAGGAAGCAGGGTAAATTCAGCCTGGTTAGCACTAGCTTGAGGCTCCAGCACCACTGGATCAGTTTCTTTCTCACTGCTCACCCACAATTTAGTTTCTCTAACTGCTTAATCCCAAAGACGATCAAGCAGTATCTAGTCAACCTGTGTGTTAATCAACAACAAGCAAACATTCAATACTGTGAATGACATTTTTGTATGAAATACAGACTGCAGACCCTGTAACATGGTATTATGTCCATTAAACACAGCATTCACAAATAACATTAAGAAAAAAGAATAACTAAAACATCATGCAGATTTTACCTTTTGTGTCAGGCTCTTAAGTAATCTAAGCAACGCTCATATTTATACTAGCTGATGACCTGTCCTGTTAGGTACAAAATGGTCCAAAACTCTTGCACTGGAGTCCTCATAACCCAAATGCACAGAGAAATTAAACAGGGCTTGTCCTTATAAAACTGAGTCAGGCTTTGTGACAGTTGACTTGCAAACATTGTCTGAAAGATTAAAATAACACATAACTGCACCAGCTCCCTAAATCTGACCAGGGCTCAGAGGATAAATGCCTCACCTCATTATGTTTAAATCTTCTATCTCAATCTGGTTTAAAACAGAGCAGAGGCTGTGAGCTGCCAGTCTGCTGTACTGTTAAGAGAACAAAAATACCACTACAGACCAGGATGTGGGCTCCAGCAGAGATCCACATTTAGTATCTGGCTTTCCTTTACTGTCCCCTGCTCCTCAGCATATTTGCTTCCAAGGATCATTACTTCACCCAGTACAACTATGTGTCAGCTCCAATTGAAATGATCCCTTTTCTCAACAGACAGTGTTTCTGTGCCTGAAGTACAATGTTATTTATACATTACAGACCACATTCCCACTGCCTAGCTCATGCTGGTGGCTCCCACTGTCACCACTGAAGAGCACCAGCCAAAGCAGCGGCTTGCCTATCTGAAGTAGACTCTCAGAGACAAGTCACGCACACCTCATTTGACTCTCAGATAGGTGGAAGTCCCAGTCTGCGTAAAAGAGAGTCAGAGCTAGATGGAATCGAATCAAAGACAGTTTTTCTCCAGTAGGAAGAGAGGCTCTGAGGAGCCAGTTTAAAATGGGACAGAAGCCCTGTGAGAAGCCCCGGACAAAAGGCCCAGCATCACTCCTCTACCTCTCTATTGTTTCTAAATTACCAACACATTTGGGACATACCACAACAGTGAGGATACCTTCTAGGCAACTGTACAAGCCGTATCAGTAGGCATTTCATGTAAGAGTTAGTCTAAGATGTTTGCATGTCAAATTTCCCATCTAACCCAGCAACACTGCTTTGTACAGCTTTTCTGACTATTGCTTACCTCTTTTAACTTGTCCAGCTCATTTTGCAGTGTCTGCTTGGATACTTCCACCTCAATAATTTGCTGCCGAAGGATTTCATTTTCATCTTCTGCTTTAACACGTTTCTCCTCCACACTCTCCAGCTCATGGTGCAGTCTGACAGAAACATCTTTGGCTACCTGGTCAGAAGAGCAGAAACGCATGAAAACGATCCATGAGGAGCAACAGCTACAGTATGTCTCCTACAGCAGGAAGCATATTACAACCCTAGACAGCCAAGAGATTTTTTAATTCAATTATGAGACTGTTGATGAAAGACTCCAAGCCTTCCAAGTACCAAAATGAATATTCGCTTATAATAAAGAAATCCAAGATGAAAATACATTTGATTACCCTTCTCCAGCTCCCTCTCCACATTATGCTAAGGCAATGTCATGAAGGGCAGGAGGAAATAAGCAGATACCAAACTCACACATCAAAGTCCCAGCATATCACATCAATAAAACAAAAGATGAGGAATTGTGTTGTAAAGTTGACAAGTCATCGGTCATTCATGCAGCAGTCTCATCCACCCAAATTTGCTGCTCTAGCGGCAATCACAACTAGGCGAGAGTGATATTAAAGCGCAGAAATATATGCTAGCTATGGTTTTCTGTGTCCAGCCTAACAAGAATAAATATTTACTCCAAAAACATTTGGAAAGGTGATTCATCACTCAAAATTATGAGTTACTGAATTACAGTAAATCAGCAAAACCAAAGCAAACAAACTAAAAAAAAAATGGTATCTCTTTCACTTGAATCTGTGTACAAGATTTTTACTGAGCAACGTATCGTTTGTATTATAAGGTTGTAATTTGTTTTCTATCATAAAAGAGAAAATTAGGTCTGACGTTTTGAAAAATTTGATGACTTGATATGTCACTCTTACTTCCACTGCTGGGAACCAATCATTCCAGTTTCAGAAGGTTTTATGTTTTGCATTTTTATGTACAAAATGCTTAATAATTCTAGTGGTAAACAGTCCTTCTCTACAGTAGATGTTTTCAAAACATTGGTACAAGATAGTAATATTAAGAAAGATGAGTAAAACTAGATAAGCAACATGCCTATGCAAAGATTAGCCTTGATGGAAGCATTTCTGAAAAATATTAAAACTGTTTCAGTATGAACATAATTTTTATAGAATTTGTGTTTTTATGAGAATAGCATTTTGATTCTCTATCTGCCTTGCTAAAATATTGTAAGTCTGTTCCTGTTATGAGTAACTCATTAGGCACTAAGAAATACAACTCTGACTAGTTTTTTTCCAGTTATTTGGCATAAGCAAGAAGAGAAAAGGAAGGAAATGGCATGAATTGGGAAAAGCATTTCAGGTTTTGTTTATACAGTTTTGCAAAGCTGCAGTTTCAGTAAAACCAGTAAACCAAAACCCTTTAAAACTTTCAAATGCACAAATGTAACTTGACTGCATTTCTTTCATTTTGAATCTAAGAACATGTGTTTTTTACTCACTAACACATCTTTTTATGATGATAAGCTGTATATTTGTTCTCCACCGCAGAAGGAGGAAATTGGTCCTGATGTTTGGAAAACTATTGCCTGTTTCATGTGTGACCCTCCCTTCCATTGCAAGGAGCCAAATCCTGGTCTACTCTCTTTCACTGTGAATATGAATCTCTCACCCACCTTTAAATCTTGTTCCAGGCTCCTAATGAGCTCTCCATCCACATGGCCCGTTTGTGCAACTTTCAAGCTTTTCTGTTCTGCTTTCCTGAGACGATATTGCAGAATGCGGCAATTCTTGTTTGCCCGGTCCAGCTCTCGCCGGAGCTCCTGCAGCTGGTAAACATCTTCCTCTAAATAGCTGTCACGCATTTCTTCCATTTCAGCCCGAAGTTCATCCAACTCATCCTGTGAGAAGCCAAAACAGTGCTCCATCATACCTCTAATCTCACCCATGGGAGCAAAATAGGAAACATGCTCACTAGGATACCCTATTAATGAAGTGATACAGATTGCAACATGCAGCTCCAGAAGTCGGAGAAACAGAAGTTTTACCCCAACCTTGACTAATTATGCTGAACTAAATTAATGAACACTTGTTACATTTCTTGCAATTGCTTGTATAATTAAAAACAGACCAAATGCTTATCTGTCTCCTGAAACTGGTAACACCTTCATTTTATCATCTCTAATTAAAATAAAAGTGCTTAAGACTTTGCCACCATCTGAAATGATTCCTTGCTTTATCTGACTACAGTAAACCTAGTTAACCAAGTACCTCAGCATCTCTGCGTGATGTGTCTTTTTAACAACCAGCACTTCCTAAAAATTAAATTGTCCCTAGAAAACTTTAATGAATCTTTACACCAAATACTGAACTGCTCCATGCTGTCCCATCTGAGCCTACCACTGTGCACAAGCTTAATGACAGATAGGTTGGGTGAAGGAGATAGTGGGTTTCTGTCATGTGCACACACATTTCAATAACAGGAACATAGGGACAAAATAAAACCTGTTCCCATGGGAATAACCTGGTCATTCTTTTCTGGGCATCATGAACTGTCCCAATTCCATATTAAACCATGAGCAGCACACAAACTCTAAAGTCAGATTTAAAGATTTACAGCTGAACAGGATAAGCTCTATCATTCCCATTTGTTTAATCTGTGCATGACTGAAGCTCCAGAGCTAAAACGCTTATAAAGGTCTTCCAAGCACAGGGGTACAAACCATTAAACTACTGCGTCAAAGGAAAACTATGACTCTACTAACTTTGAACAAAGTTGGGGGAGAGGGGGAGATCAAGAAAAAGAGCCAGAAGGAGTATATTTGAAAGGAACTATTAATTTTTAAATGTGTTCTTTAAGATTGCATTTGATATTATAAAGACCACATTTTCTGTGGAAAACATAGCTTATATAAGATTCAAGGAGAACTTGCACTGGGGCTAGCTGCACTGCCACCTCACTTCAGATCTCTAAATGACACGACATACCAAGGATGGCTAGAGTATTTCACACTTGTATTGCATGGAAAAGACACTGCTATGGAGTTAGCTCCCTTGACAAAGCCCCCCTGCCCCAGATTGGACCATCTCTGTCCAGTCCCTCCATGAACATGTCTGCCTACACCCCCCTGGTAGTCATCTCAACCATTCCTCCTTCCCATGGCCTAACTGGATGGCCAGTCATGTTTTTCTCTGTATTCATCTTGCTCCACCAGAGCTTTAAAAACAAATGAGGGACAGATCTCGTCTCTGAGCACAGTTCCGACCAAAGGAAGACGTGATGAACTTCTTTAGCCTTGTTAGCATAGTTATGTTAGAATGTGTTACTCCTACCAAAATCCCATCCATGTATAAAAACTCCAGTATTTATACAGCTATGTTTGAACTTCAGTTAGTTGAACCAGCATAAGTCAAATTTTGGGGAAGCACAAGGCTTATAATGTAAAAAATGACCACTCTGAGCTCAGCAGAGAGGCTTTGCTCCACCAGTACAGCCCTCCCAGGTCTCTTCACACTCTCCTAGATGCTTAGAAAAGTATTCTCACAAGCCCATCAGATCACCATGCATTCTCAATATATTCAGATTTCTGCTGTAGCAGCATCCTGTCCCATAATCTCCCTGGGACAGCTGCAGGAGTAGGATATTTGTATGGATGGAGAAGCTCAAGGGTTACACTCCAGTAAGCTGGACCATGTTCACGCCATACACTGTCTGAAAAGCAACAGTGTAAGCACAGTAGCAGAAGCTACCCTTGCAGCAATGACACCCTCAGAAGTTGCAAAAACATTAATTAACCAAAACCAGCAGCCTGCAAGGAAGCAAATGAGCTCTGCAGACCAAACCCAGCAGGATTCTTTCAAAACAATTTATGGTCCAGGACCTATCTACTCCTCCTTACGGTCCAGCCAAATACTCTGGCCATATCAACACACCAGTGAAGTTTTGATAAATGATATTTTAAAAAGAAAAACATAGCAATGTATGCTTGAGTGAAGTGGGGAGGAAACCTGGTTTTCTTTTTAATGTACACACTTTTTCACTATGCTTCATGTTTAAAGACACTTTCAAGAAGTAAACTGAAAGTTTACCCAGTAATGATGGAGATACAGAAGAAAATGTCAGGTTTTAGAAACTGGTTAGAGAGTAGCAGTGGCTTTTGAACCTAACAAAAGGAGTACACTTATGTGTTACCAGTTTATTAACTAGCTATTTTGGCTAAGATACTCACATCAAAAGTGCAATCTTTACCTGTCTTCTGGGATGAACAGGACCAGAGCTATTGCTTATGGCTGTCTAGAGACTCTAGAGCTGAATCTACTTCAACGAGATTTAAGTTCAATTAACTTTTTAATATCATCTTTAGAATGCTAATGTTAGATTAATAATTTGGTTGTAAATTGAGAATTTTGAAACACAAATCCACAATAAAGGAAAACATCTGTCATCACCAAGAATATATTTAAGAACTAAGCAATGGCTTTCATGTGTTAAGTGGCCTGCAAAGAGCAATTATAATGTTATTGTTCATCTCCTAAATGTCTTCCTTATCTACAACACGTTTTGGAATTGTAAATCTGGTTGGTTTCTAAAGACAAATAATCCACAATATTTGGCTTCAAAGCATTTATTACAACCAAATTTGGAAAGTGAAACTCACATAAGTTTAAACAACCCAATCCCCGAAACAGTCATCCTATTGAAACTGAGTATTCCCAAATCCTCTCAGTGGGCATGGGAGCTCTCCCAGGCTTCAGAGTCACTCTGTCTCCACTGGAGACTTGAATCCAATGTCTGCCTTCCCACCAAAGAAGTTCCCCAAAGAGCTGCAAGCACTGGCATGAGCTATATTTCAGGAGATGGGCCTGGTCTTTTGCCTCCAGAAAAAAATGACGTTTTTGCAATCTCCCTTAACAGCACAATTCTGAGTTTGCCAGTCTGTGATATTATTTTATTATGCTTGCCTCTGGTTTTCATTATAAATACAGAGTTTGCTTTTTTCTAGTGTAATATTGCAGATAAAATAAAATTTAGGATACAATCAAGAAAGCTGTACTTTAAAACCTCACAGTTCTCCTCTCGGACTTTTTTCTTTTGACTGAATTGAGCTTCTTTTCCACACTTAACTTTTTTCCTACTCCTAAAACTTTCCTATAGAAATCACTGTGTCCCAACCCCTTGCACTTAGGAATACAGCATCCTTTGGAGGAGCTTTAAAACATGGCAACATACATGCAAACACAATGAGGGCACAAACAATTTTGACCATATAAGGAGCAGAAACCTCACTGTATGGGCTGCACACAGCACCAGCCTGCTTTCTGCTGTATTACTGCAGTGCCTGGGGCTTGGACCTACATAGTCTGTCCAGCCCAGGGAGGAAAAACCCAGATGGGACAGATTAAATCTTTTTGAGGAGCAAGATGAAGTCCTATTTTTAGATATTAAATATATATATGTGCAGGAGCATGTCACCTCTGAAACGTCAAATTGTAGAAAAATGAGATGTGGTTCAGATTTTGTATGACAGCATAAAGTTATAGATGCTGAGATAATCTTTTACTAGTTATAATAAAGACATAACCTTGCTCTCAGGCCACAAAATCAGTGGCAAGGGCGTAGATGCTTCCAGTTCATAACAGTTTATGCTCCTTGGTCAGTACTTGTGATTCTGCTGTAGCCGCTGAAACCCTGTGTTAGCATCTCCTAAATCAGAACTGTACACCTACAAAACCAGGACAGCTTCAACTCCTCTCCTAAAGCCATGTATGCTTACAAAACAGAGGAAGCTAAGTGAAAGACCCAGAGAAGCAGAAATTACAACTGAAACTATGATGGTCCTACTTTCTAAACCGTCAAACGTACCACTTTGAAGGAAAACATGTCAATCATTAGTGAAATCAAAGGTAAATGCAGCAAAGCCAGAACCTTAAAAATCCCAAACTCGGTAGTTTGCAAAAAAGATGCTTTGGCTGTGAGGCAGTTGGAAATACTAGATAAACCAAACCCCTGACTTCCTTAAAATGTATTGTTCTTATTACTATTGTTATTGTGAGTGAGAATTAAAACTCTCTCTCTCAAGAGGTGTTGATTTTCATACCATGGACATTAAAATTGTAAAACTGAAGAAAGAGATCAGAAAAGGCTTATAAAAGTAATTACAACAAACAACTAAGAAAGTGGCCATCCCACTTTGTGCATCTAAAAAAATGGAGAGCCTGCTCCCTTCCTTTAACAGGGGGGACCTGCTTCATAATCCCAAAGTGGCAATTGAAATTGGGAGGTTAAGTGCTAGCATAAGAAGCTTCATTTTGTTGTACATTCCTGTAGGGTCTGAGAGCCTCCTCTTGATCCCTTTTAATTTAATGGCAATTATGTTATTACCTTCAGTAAGAACAGCACCAGGCAGAGTCCTGGAAGAAAGAATATTGTTTAGGAAAAAGCTAATGCTTTTCTTTCCAGATGTCACCCTGGTCATCAGAAAGAACAAATGGAAGTGTGGGAAAAAAAAACACCTTTCTACTGGCAGCTCTTTCCAGATTTGCAGTAGAAATCCAACTTGCTCATGCTCCTGAGTCTAACCACTTATGGTTTCAGCTGCTTGGCCTAAACTACTTCCTAAAGGCTAATTATTCGGGGTCTAGTAGGGATCACTTGTCTGCAATTCAGGGGCTGGCTATGTGAACACAGTGTCACACTTAAATAGCTGGTTCCATTTGCAGGATTCCCCTGGACTTCAGTGCAAAAGCAACAGAATTAGGATTCACTGTTTCCCTGTCAGTCTATCAAGACAAGGTGAATCGGCTGAAAGGGGAAAGCCTGTGTGCACTTCACATTGCTGCATAGCCCAAATACATATTGATGCTGTAATTTCACATCTGTACTGTACAAATTGAAGACTTGCCTCTCAGGAGAGAAGCCATTATCTCATTAATACCTTTACTGATGTCATGCTTGTTTATTGTTGATTTAATTTATAATGAAATATAATTAAGGGTAAATTATAGGAATATGCCTTGTTTAGGATTCTTGGAGGAAAAAAAAAAAAAAAAAAGGAGAGAGAGAAAGTCAGGCC